CTGCGCTAGCGCTGCGCCCGGGCCGGCCCGCGGCACACCTCCGAATGCGGCGAGCGGCCTGCCTAGCTTCTCGCCCCGGGACTAGGGTTTTAAATTTGTAAGTAATTTATTTTCTTTACGTAAGATTGGTAAAATACCGGTAAAATACGGTAAAATTGGTAATTTTGGTAAAAATGGTTTTATCGCTTAAAAATGATGATTTAAGTTGGTTTTTATTATTGTTTACTACTTTCAGGGTAATTTTTCGAACTATTGTCTTTATTTGGTTATGTTTCTCAGGTAAAACGTCCAGTATTTCTCCCCAGCACGTAATTAGTTTGGTTTTAGTGCCATTTTAAGTTTAGCTACTTTGACTTTCTAAAAATTCATAAAAATATGTTTCCTTCAAAGTTGATGCCTTGTCCTCAAAACACTAACGACTAAACCTCTATTAGTAGAAACAAACCTATGCCTCGGGAAACCAATTAATTCAATTTTACCGATGTAAGTAAAAAAAAAAAAAAATACCCGGTATTTTCCCGTAAATTTAATGTAATTTTACATGTAAAATTACCGGACTTAAAACCCTAGACAGGACGACACGTTTGGTTACTTAAACGTTTATTGCACAACTGACTGTGAGGAACAAGGGTGGGCCCCTGGACCGAGGGCTTCGCCGACAGGCGCGCACCCTGACGGCAACATAGGCAAGCACACCATTTTTTAGCAGATGATACCTTGAAAACCCTTGGACTAAATATAAAGAATATATAAGTAACTTAAAGGTGTCAGCTAGCTTTTACTCTCGAAACGGCAAGAGAATCAAGCGGAGACCAGAAAACCATTTTTTTTAGCGCTGGCGGAACCGTGTCCGAGTGCCTGAGTGAGTGTCGCTTCAGGCCCCTCCCCTTACCCTGCCCAACAATACTTATACTCCCACAGGGCTGCCCTCCCGCCGACAATCTGTTCCCGTCAGACCCAACGATACTGAGCTACCGACGCCGGTCAATGTGCCCGCCCTTATCTCCTCCTTTACGTAGCTAAATATGAAAGAAAATTAGAACACAGACCTATTCTTAAATTTGTATCATCTGCTTTCAAGATCGATTCTTGATTGAGATTTTTTAATCGTACTAAATGACCGTGACATTTCCTGATCGGCTTACTCAATTTCAGTACAAAGACAGTGCGAAACTGACGATGCTGACACCCGTTGTTAGACAGTCCCATGGCCTGTCGGAGGGTAAACTGTCCACTGTGTGCTAGTGCCCCTGTCACCTCGTGCCTTTGTAGCTGTCCCCTGTCATCTCGTGCCTCTGTCGCTGTCGCTTGTCTGTGGATGTCCATTGTCTGTAGCTGTCCCTCGTCCTTTGTAGCTGTCCGCTCTCTGTCTGCTACGACAGCGAGGGGAAGACTTTCCGCACGGCTTCGGGGACGGGCCTCTGGTGCTGCCGGTAGAAGGCCTCGACCCCTGCGGCGAGCGGCTTGTAGTCGTGGGGCAGCGGCCGTCCGGCGGCGAGCTCCTCGGCGAGCCGACGGCACACGGGCTCGGGGTCCTGGTCCAGGGTGTACTTCTTGGTGAGCAGCTCGTGCAGCAGGTCGGCGTCGAGCTCCTGGTGCCGCTTCTGGTACGACACCAGCTGCGGGATGTCGAACTTGACGATGTTGTTGACGATGAACGCCACCACGGAGTACGGCAGCAACCTGGAGGACGAGTGTGTTTGAAGTACCTCGGTCTGCCCCCTCCCTCCCAGAGTACCCCGGCCCGCATGGACTCCGTGTTGGAGGATTAGACGCGCGTGGCGGATGGGCGGCCTACCTCCACGGCGCCGCTCAGCAGCCCACCTCACCTCAAGATGACCGCCAGGGCGGCCAGGTGAAACGGCAGGTTGACGACGTGGTCCTGGCGCGCGATCGCGTCGACCATAAGCTCTGCCGACTCAGCGGGGTCCATGAAGGGCAAGAGCCACTGAGTTAACCTACAACAAGATAATTATTTTATTTTTTTGTTTGACAGTAGTACTGCAGAAAACGCGACGTGTTGAGGTGCTTACTTGCCGAATTTGACGGAGTCGACGAGCCTCTGGTACGTAGCCATGAAGAAGGGCCGTATGGTGGTGATGTGGATGTCCTGGCCGAGGCCATCGCGGCATAGGTCCTGGTACAGGCAGCCCATGAAGCCTGAGTGAGGAGTACGAGAATTTAAGCGCGGGTGGTAGACAAACTTCTCTTTAGAAAACCCTCAGAATGCCAGTAATCCATGGGGTACTTTTTTTCACACCAGTGTACCTTCCATTGAACGTTGTCAGGGTTGTGTTTTCCATCGTAAATAATTTTTTACGCGTTAATAACATGTTGCATAAATTTGCTAGCTGAGTTCAAAAAAAAAAAACTGAAAATAAAACTTGACCTGAACCCAAAGTAAAGACCAGTTGAAGAAAAGTAGTTTACTCTCTAATAAAAATGTCGCGTTTTTTGTGCGACAGCCGTGGGCTCGTCGCGCTAAGGCAGAGACGATGACCCCTTACTGTCCCAGCGGGTCGCGTTGTTTGACTCACGAGAGAGGCCCGCTTTGGTGGCGGCGTAGGCGGCGATGCAGGGCATGTCCAGCTCCCCGGCCAGCGAGCTGACGGCCACAAGGTGGCCCGAGCGGCGGGCGCGCATGTGCGGCATGAGCGCCCGCACGAGCAGCATGGTGGCGCGCAGGTTCACGTCGAGGATGAGGTCGAGACCGTCGTCCGTCACGTCCCAGACGGCGCCGCCCTCCAGCTGGCCGGCGTTGCTCACCTTTAAATGCCGCGAAAGAAATCACGATTATGATTTACGTTTCGGCTCTCGTCTTCGCCGTCGCCTTGCTGTCGGTCGTCATTAACGTCCCCGTGGGTTCGGTTTTAAAGTGCATGGCGACGCTTTGGGCGGGGCCTGAACAAAGTCGCGGGCCTAAAATATGGCGAGGGCGTTTTTTCTCCGTCCGAAGAATATGACGGGAGGCTGCAATAACGAGTAAGCGAAAATATGTTGTCGTTGAACTCGACAACAACCGCCGTGACCAGGCGGTGACTGGTTTCGTTAACAGCCAATGACCTGCCTTTTTCTCACAGTCTGAAGAATTGTTTTTTATTCAGAGAGGTAATGCGCCAATGAGTGGGTATTGGGTAGCTCCTTACAGGGATAGGGCCGAGGAGGGGTGGATAACTCCTGAATTGGGTGTACAAATATCAAGATTTGAATTTGAATTAGGTTGAATTAGGTTGAATTGAATTTGAATTGGACTGAATTGGTTGAATTGGTTTTGAATTCGTTTGGATTAAATTGAATTGGTCTGAATTAGTTTGAATTGGTCAGAACTAGGGGTGTACACTTGGCAGGGAAGTTATCCACCCCTCGGATAGGGCACGCTGCCCTGCTTGCTGGGGAAGGTCACTATACCTGAGGGAGTGGAAAACACAAATCCGCGAAAACAAAATCTGTTTGGCTTTTGCACGGCACAATGAGTGTTGGCGGTCGCGAAGTAGTGCCTCTTGTGCCGCAGCACTCGGAGACGCCCAAAGAAACAAGAGAGAGGGGATACATTCGTATGCAAGGCTCCATGAGTGCGACTGAGGGAGCTCAACACCGTGAGGCTTTAAAAAATCGAATTCCCGAAAGACATTTCTCTCTCGTGGGGACTTACGTTCACAGTTGTGAGCGCAGGACCTGACCAAGACTTGACTAGACGCGCGAATGTGATAGTATGGCGCGTTTAACATCGCTATGATGGTGCCGCCGGGAAGGACCAGTCTGCCCACATGTCTACCTAGACACGTGATGTATCTGGATTCCAGGTTTAGAAACGTCAGTGCCGTTTTATTGGCGTCCCCGTTTTAAACTGGTGCCTGCAAACCGAGACGTTTCCATTAGCGTCACCCTATTGAGACGTGTCTAATCTGTCGCTAAACGAAGAGTATGTCGACGCGTCCACTCTGTCTATGAACAACAGGTTACCAGTATGTCGGCGCGTCCACTCTGTCTATGAACAACTGGTTACCAGTATGTCGACGCGTACACTCTGAACGACTGTTACCAGTATGTCGACGTGGCCGAAGTCCTTGATGGCGGCGGCGACGAGGGCGTCGACGTCCCCCTTCTTGCTGAGGTCCGTCGTGTAGGCGCGCGCCACGGCGCCGGTCTGGCGGACGACGTCGTCGGCGGTCTGCTTGTTGGGCTTGGGCGCCACGTCCGCGCAGGCGATCTGACAGCCGCGGCGCGCCAGCGCCAGTGCGAGGACGCGCCCCAGACCGCCGCCCGCGCCCGTCAGCTGCAAGACGAGAGGGTATTGCTTGTAAACAAGGATTAAAAAACAACAACAATAAAATACTTGAAGGTGTTGATGTAGGTGGTCCATCATTATTCGCACTACCTCGTACAGCCGGCTGCACACGCCGAGGCATACCGACGACCCACACGACCTACGATGTTCGCCCCCCCTCTTCCCCCGGTGCACCCAGAAAACTTCTTTCTTTGCTCAAGTACATTCGTACTCGGGTTCGCAAAAGTACAATTTTTCACTGGAACCAATCAAACATTTGATTTAAATGCAAAAAAATTACTTCTTAATAATCTTGTTCTTGGACATTATTTGAAGAGAAGTGATCTTATCATAATGATATTTTTGTATTGTTTCACCACACTGTCCAAATCCTCTTAAAATTAAGCTTGTGAAGCATTTGGCAGCATCACCAAACATTTGAGTGTACCTCGTAAGGGGTAGCGAAGCACATGCTTTTTAAGCTAGAAATGCAAATGCTTTGTAAATGCCAAACAAATTCTTTGTATTGCAAAAGTTTAAAAAGGGTTTGCAAGCTACAAAGCAATTTTTTTGTAAGGTTACAACGGTGCAAGAGGAAAATTGATATTGTGCAACCCTGAGTACAAATATACTTGAATCAAAGAAATGAATTTTCTGGGTGTGGGCGGGATCGGGCGACTCAGCAAAATCGGCTCAATCTCTCGATTCGTGCAGCTTCCAGTAGCAGCAGCGCTTTGCTAACGATCCGTCATTTTCTGATTTTTATCAAAGCGTCTCTGAAACTCGCGCCGCACTGCTTGTTCGCGACAATTACTGATTTGACTTGCACATTACCAGTCGCGGTCACGTGGTTCAGTGATGGACGATCTCCCCCACGTGCCGCTGGCAGCAGGTCAGAGTTCACGGAGGCTGCTGATGAGCCACCCGTATTAATATACTACCGGAACCTGCTTCTCGCCGAGGGTTCGGCGGCACTGCATGTGTATGTCTCGCTTTGACGAATTCCCACGCCATGTGTAAAAAGTAAAGTGAGTCACGGCGTGCTTTGTGCTGAGGTTATACTGGAACGGAAACTCCGCTGCCGCGATAGGCGTCTATTTGGGGTTGAAAGCGAAAAGTAAACAACAACCTGCGCGCCCGTGACCCACTCCCACTCTACTACGGGGAAACCCTCTCCGTTCGCCCGCCTCGAGAGAACGAAAAGCTAAATCGGATACAGGAATAGGCAGGTGAGAGCCGATGGGTGAGTCTCCAGGGGAAGCAGACCCCGCGGCCGCACCTCACCTGTGTGTGGTCGCGGATTTTTTTGATTTTTTTTTGTCACCGTGCCCAATTTCTCCACGGTTCCCACAAGTTTGGAAAATCAGGAAAGTCATGGAAAGCCCTGGTAAACAAAACATGGCCCTGAATGTCCTGAAAAGTCATAGAATTTGGTTCGACAGTCCTAGGAAAATCAAATTTCTACAACAATATGAAAAGTCTATTTAAAACTTTACATAAGGTATGCCGCGCATTTTTAAAATACTGATATGACAATATGGAAATTCACACAAATTTGTGATGCTGCCACCATAAGTATGGCCTGAATTTAAATAAAAAAAATCACAGTTTTATTGCTTACGAGTTTCTTATATTTCATTGTAAATGGTCTTGGAAAATGTTAAAATTTAGTCTGGAAAATCCTGGCAATGTCCTTGAAAACGCCAGGAGCCAAAATGTTGCAACCATGTAAGCGAGGACATTGATTATTGTTATTTCCTTCCAATACAAAAAATGGCACAAATTTGGTTAAACGCCCGCTCGGTGTAGTGCGCGGCGTGGTTGGCTTGCTCCAATAAAGAAGTACATTTGCATAGAATCCCCGCGACGAACACACTATCATGTGTTTACAACTTTGCACTTGTCTCACCAGAGCGCTCGAGGCAGCGCGGATGCCGCCGCGGTTCTTTTGGCACTCGGACGGGGCGCACCGCCAGACCCGCTCGGACGCGGGTGGGTCGT